TTAAATCAGTCTTTAAATGTATAATTTGCAGATAATGCAGATAATTAAAAAGAGGTGACAGGATGGACATTGGATAGTGTTATATTATGATTGCCAGGCACCTCCTTAGCAATTGAAAAAAAACAAAACAATACTATCACCACAATAACATGTGAATAGTGTGAAAGAGGTATGCAATATACTTATCAGGTAAATCAAGTGGACAGCCTCCCTTTAGACCAGAATACAAGCAAAACACATATGGGATATGGTTGTGGAATCTAAAAAGAACATAGAATCAACACAGTGTAATACAATTTTAACAAATAATGTGTGCTGTACAAAAATGCACTCACAAGATGTAGACTTATTATGTGCTCAAAGGGTGCCTCCCACTGATGTAATTGGGGGTCTATGGATCTCTCTGCACTGTCTGCAGTATCGCAGGAAATCAGGACTCTGGATGGTGGTATAAAATAGCAGCTTTTATTATAAATCAAATAAAATTGGTAAAACATCAGTAGTTTTGGTCGCTATTTTACTGATGTAATTGAGTCCTGATTTCCTCAATTACATCAGGGGAGGCACCATTTGAGCGCATAATACGTCTACATTTTGTGAGTGCATTTTTGTACAGGGCACATTATTTGTTAAAATTGTATAACACTATACCTCTTTAGCAATGTATATATGTGTATGCAGGGCCTGACAGGGATAGATGACACTGCGTAAGAATATGCAAGACAGATGGGTTTAGGGTGTCAGCTAGACAGTGTTATGTATCAAACATATTTATTGGTAAATAATAACAATCACAATCAGTCATCAACAACCAACATTAAAGGTTACATTATACATAAAACATGTAGTTCGTTCAATCCACACTTATCGATGAAATAGATCTTGAAAGACTCTAGAAGCAAGGTAAAATCACTTAGGTGTTAAAATAAATAGTAAAGAGAGAAAAATGAGGGGATGAGCATGTGTCTGTCAACTGGCAAAACAAAAGTGGAAACATTAAAGAGAGAAGAGACAAAAGAAAGAAAGACTATAAAACATATAAAAGAGTAAGATGATGAATATTTTAATGGAGAGAAAGAGATACACAGTCATGGGAAGTATGGGTACAATCAATTTGGAAAACTGTAAACTTTGCACATTCTAAAGAGAGGTAGATGAATTATGGTTTGCTAGAGAGTGAGCTACACTACTGATGGAAATCTTGTGGCATTATTAGCTGAACTAAGAGAAAATATGAGTTAGAAAGTATTTGAAAATATCGGGTATAAAAAATAAATTTTCAAAAATGCAACATTACTTACATGTCACATCAAGAAAACTGAAATATATTTGAGGGGGGTGGGGTGGCGGGTGGGTTAACCTATTATTTGAAATCTACTATGGATTAATTCAGAATTCTCATGTCAGTTTAAGGAAATTATCCTGTTGATGTTGTGAAAGTATTCATTTGTTTTTTTTTAGTTTTTAAAGAAATCTAGTATTTTTACTGCAAATACATTCTGATTTAACAAAATAATACCTGCTCTCTCTATACACTCTCTCTAAATCAGTCTGTATGTCCGCCATATTGCACCCTCAAAAATTACCCCTAATATTGACATTGTGTGCTGACAATCCAGGTACAGGAGCCTGGTGTTACAAGTGTACATGATTACATGTGTTTTTTGGACAGACCAGTTACATATTTTCAACAGTGCTGGTGACCACGAGGCAAACTGCAAAAAATGTGTAAAGTTGCCTTTCTAAGTAATAGAAGTAGGCTGCCTTAATATGTTGTTAGTAGGCTGTCTTTGTGTGTTTGGAGCTATTCATGTGTGATAGAAATGAGCTGTCAGTCTGCACCTGTCATTTTTAACAGCAGAGAATAAGTTGGCCAATTATACAGTCTTTGGCCATTGACTAATTAATATATATATATATATATATATATATATAAATATATATATATATATATATATATATATATAAAATCAATGACTAAAGGGCTTGAATGTATTCGTTTGTATATAATAGGTTCAAACTTCTTTGTTTAATGTTTTTATCAATATAGCATATTTTATAATTTCAGAAGAACTAAATTTATCTCCCTATACAAACATTTCTAGCTATTGCTTAGCAAGTTTGCAGAGCTGACAATTCCACTGTTTGTCTTCTGCTCTAATTCACCGAAGCGTGCTCTTTTCAGCTAATTAAAGCATTGGAGGGTGAAGGAGCAGAATTAATGTCATACATAGTACAATATTCTATATTCATTTTACTGGTTTACTTATCAAATCAGCTCCATATTTTCCTTAGCCAAGAAAATGTTTTTTTGTTTTTTATGAGTAACAATATATCATTAACTTCTAAGTCCAATATCTGGCTTCGAAGTTGCTTTAGTGACAGTATTTTGAAGCACATAAAGTAGATATTCTTGAATTAAGACCAGAACACATCTTATCACTATTGAATAGCTACACATCCTGTCCCTGTAGATCTCTAATTGTCTTTATAGGTTTTATAAATTGAGATGCATAGTTTTATAGTTTGGAAAATGTTACTCTTCAGTGCAATTATAATAATTCCTTTTAAAGAGTTATTAGTCCACTGGTGGTCCCTGGCCATAAGGGAATTTTTTTTTACCTTCATTATCCGAAATTCAGCATGATCTATATTTTATGTTAATGTTTTTTTACCTACTGTGCTGGGAGTTAATGCAGTTTCTACAGTATATTTCAAGTTACTTTGTAACACATTGAAGAAAAAATAAAAAGCATAGTGGATTTTTTTTTCTGTAAATTGGGCAGACTAGATGGGCCGAATGGTTCTTATCTGCCGTCACATTCTATGTTTCTATGTTTCTATGTAGTCTTGATTTCTAAACAGGAATTAAAAGAAGATTCAGACATGAGTACAATATGATAGATAAATATAAAGCAATTCATCAGCACTTAAATGACCATTATTTTCATTCAATGGAAGGTGTTATGTATTCATGGATAAAATAAATGATTGCCAGTATTTCCAGATAGAGAGGATTTTAGAAATTTTACTTCCATGATTGTGCAGCTGCTGACATACTTGCTGTGGCATTTTTTGCCACATTCTTTTCAAAATGCAGCATGTCACAGAATATCATTATTTTTCTAAAACTCTGTTCACAAAAAAGTGAGGATTTTCAGTTTTGAAATATTGAGCAAAATATGCAAAATGTCAGCAGTTGCAATCCAAGGTATTGTAACGTTTCTTCCAGGACACAATGATGGTAAATATTTATATTTTGAAACTGTTGACAATGATCCGATTCAGCTGAGAAGTAATCTTTAACAGGAACCTTTGATGTTTCATTTCTTACCTGTTAATCTGTAAACCCAGTAGATTTCACTGAATCTGACATTTTATTAAGCATGTAACAAACCCACAGCTGTAATAAACTCATTGGTCTGGTTTATCATGTTTGAGCTGTCTTCATGCGTCCTCTCTAACAAGATTATTTTCTAAACTCTGTACCGTAGCAAATTAAAACTGGAATGGTAAAATCAAGGCTAAAATAAACAAGCTGTGAATATGTCTACGATGGAGAATGTTTGCATATCAGCTTAATTTGGCCTCAGTTTTTCTACTCCGATTTTAATTCCCTACAGTTCAGTGTTTGGTGAATAATCTTATCAGTTAGCACATGAGGATTTTGTTTTTTTTAAAGCAACACTCTGCACACCCTAAGTGCTTTAGTATGATGAAACTTTATGCGGGGAAATTTTTTCCTTTTTTCTAATCTTTAAAAAAAGTGCAGATTTCAATAGAAATTGTCACACTTATAAATGAACCTTGTTACATCAACTTTGTCAATAAGACAACCGGTCCTGTTCCAGTTTAAAACAATTAAGTTAAAATCAAGAGGCAGAAAATTACTGTGCAATGCCTTCGTAATGAACTGCATTGGGAAGTCTGGGATTGAATGTCGGGGCGGGGTTAGAAGGGGAATGCTTGTAGACAAGAGAACTGAAGCCTTTGCAAGCTGTTTTAAGACTTACCCTCAATAAAAAAGTATATGCATTAATGTTTTCATTAGGGTATATTTTGTAAATAGTTAAATTTTGTTTTGATCAGTGGAGTGACCCTTTAGCACATTGTAAATTCACAGAATGACAAATGTGTAAGTAGACAAATTACCAAATTTAAGTAAGAATAGAGGTTTTGGAAATATATATATATTTTTTTAAATTCTTTATTTTTGTGTGCACATGTTAAACAGACAACCATTCAATGCCCCAACAGCACTGTCAAGACAGTTAATCGAACAACGCATACTAGTTACAAGGCATTTGGGAATACAGCACATTACTTTTTTTTAAGCAGTGTGAAATTACAGGTTATGCAGAATATGTCTAGGTTACCTATTAGATAAGAGAAACTAGGTGATACAAATCCTAGGCATGTTGTTAGAGGTATGAAAATAAGAAAATAAATTGAGTAAGACAGGTTAGCCTAGTATGTCAGTTTCTGGGTTGCGTCAATTGAGCTTGAGACATTAGACAAGTGAGGAGTCTTAAGAGTGTAGATGCTAGTGCTGTTGGTTTACAGGTTTGTATACTGGGTATTTGTTACTGAGTAGATTAAACATATTGTGGAAGCATATTGTGCTAATTTAAGCAGGCTAAGTCGATAAGATAAAGAATTGTGTGACATACTAAACAATAATTAACAGTAAACACTAATCGGCGGTAACACCGCTTCATAGCCACTGGGTTCTATAATGTACTGGGATGAGCAACTGTCCCTACAGTAGCATAGTGGGACTTTGCAATATAGCCTTTCATCTGATGCCACAGACAGGCCAGTGATCGGCAGACTTCTTGCCCAGCAGGCTTGCGCCATTCTAATGCAGGAGAAGTTAACATGTTAGAGCGAAAAAACATTAAAACATATAAGGGCAACCAAGGAAATAAATAAATAAAAACTAATCGGAAGTTCTGTCTGGCAGTCCTTTCAGTCAGGGCTCCTGTTGCCCCCTCAGAGTCTCAGGTGCCTGTTGGGTGCCGGTTAGCCCTTTGTGCCTTGAATGCGGTGGAGGGTGGGGTGGTGGGTCTGGCTAGCTGAAACGGTCTGACTTTAGCCAAGTCCCAGACGTGAGGGGTCTTTGGTCTCGGAGCTGGGGTGGTTTGTTCCGATTGAGGTGGCAGTCCTAGTGCTGTCACTACCTTGTCCATTTCTGATGCGTCGGCTATGCGGGTTGTTGCACCACCATGCGTGATGACCAGGCTTCTGGGGAATGCCCAGCGGTATGGGATTGAGTGTTGGCGGAGTGCACCAGTCAGGGGTTTAAATAGGCCTCTCCATATCAAAGTAGACCTGGATAGGTCTTGATTAGTGATGTACCGAGCGGTTCGCCGGCGAACAGTTCCTGGCGAACATAGCATGTTCGCGTTCGCCACAGCGGGCGAACATATGCGCGGTTCGACCCGCCCCCTATTCGTCATCATTGAGTAAACTTTGACCCTGTACCTCACAGTCAGCAGACACATTCCAGCCAATTAGCAGCACACCCTCCCTAGCAGACCCTCCCACCTCCTGGAAGGCATCCATTTTAGATTCATTCTCAAGCTGCATGCTTAGTAAGATAGGAAAAAGCATAGCTAGGTTAGGGTTAGGGTATGCTTTTTTTTATTTATTTTTTCTTTGTAATGTAATTGCACTTAGTTGTCTGCCACTGCTGCCAGCTTCTGTGTCAGGCTCACAGTGCATACTGTGCCCATTTCCCCAGTCAGTGCCAGCACTTACATCTGGTGTCACAATAGCTTGGATTTAAAAAAAAAAACTTTTTTCACTGTTATAGATTGAATAGCAGTCAGTTGTCTGCCACTGCTGCCAGCTTCTGTGTCAGGCTCACAGTGCATACTGTGCCCATTTCCCCAGTCAGTGCCACCACTTACATCTGGTGTCACAATAGCTTGGATTTAAAAACAAAAAACTTTTTTCACTGTTATAGATTGAATAGCAGTGAAAATGAAAATCCAGCGCACTCGCTTATCTACTAAATAGTCATTTTAATGCTGAACAATTTTCAGTTTTATTAAAAACACCTAATCTAGGCAAAAAAAAATAATGGGGGTTTAGTTACAGTATATGATCATACATTGCATAAGCCTGCCACAACGTCAATGTACCCCATCTTTGGCAGGTCCTACTCTGTCTGCTAAATGAGCTTCTCACTTGGGGAAATCCTTCCATCTCGAGGTCTCTGCAGTACAATGCTTAAATAGGATCCTGAGATGAGGCACCTGTAACAGGGAGGGGTGCAAAACCCATGGAGCTGGCTAGACTCCTAAATATATACATATATGAGAAAATAAGGGTTTGGCTGCACTCACCTACACATGCTAAATTAGGGTGCTGCTGGGGGCCAATAAGTACAGTGAAAATGAAAATCCAGCGCACTCGCTTATCTACTAAACAGTCATTTTAATGCTGAACAATTTTCAGTTTTATTAAAAACACCTAATCTAGGCAAAAAAATATAATGGGGGTTTAGTTACAGTATATGATCATACATTGCATAAGCCTGCCACAACGTCAATGTACCCCATCTTTGGCAGGTCCTACTCTGTAGATTGAATAGCAGTCAGTTGTCTGCCACTGCTGCCAGCTTCTGTGTCAGGCTCACAGTGCATACTGTGCCCATTTCCCCAGTCAGTGCCAACACTTACATCTGGTGTCACAATAGCTTGGATTTAAAAACAAAAAACTTTTTTCACTGTTATAGATTGAATAGAAGTCAGTTGTCTGCCACTGCTGCCAGCTTCTGTGTCAGGCTCACAGTGCATACTGTGCCCATTTCACCAGTCAGTGCCACCAATTACATCTGGTGTCACAATAGCTTGGATTTAAAAACAAAAAACTTTTTTCACTGTTATAGATTGAATAGCAGTCAGTTGTCTGCCACTGCTGCCAGCTTCTGTGTCAGGCTCACAGTGCATACTGTGCCCATTTCCCCAGTCAGTGCCACCAATTACATCTGGTGTCACAATAGCTTGGATTTAAAAACAAAAAACTTTTTCTCCTGTTATAGATTGAATAGCAGTCAGTTGTCTGCCACTGCTGCCAGC